TCCTCGGAAAGCACCTGCGGGGCCGGACCCGCCCCCTCCTCAGCCGGGTTGGTGTTGGCACGGGCAAACACACTAAGCTCTTTACGCAGCTGGTCCAAGTTCTGCTGGATGTGCTCATGCAGAGCCTTGGCCTTGAGCGTGAGTTTGCGCGAGAGAATCTGCACGCAGCGGCTGAGGCGTTTGGGGCTGGCAGGCGTGTGCGGAGCCACGCTGCGGTGCAGCTCCTGCACGTGGCGCCCAATGCCACTCACCAGGCGCTCGGCGTAGGGATGGAAGAGCTCTTTGACACGGCCGGTGTGGTGAGCCACGCGGCTCTGCAGTTCCTGCAGCAAGCTTCTAACCTCATCCACGCCCCCCATCAGGTGGGCCTTGGTATCCTCTCCGACCACGCGCAACTGTTCTTGCAGCTCCTGAGCACGCAGGGCCACCTGCTCCATCAGCTCCACGGTGTAGGGCTTAAGCTGCTGCCGCAACTCTTCCAGATTCCAGCCCACTCGCTCGTGCGCCTCTGCCATGTAGGGCTCCAGACGTGCCCTCACCTCCTCCAGCTCCTCCTGCAGCTGCTGCCGCATGCCTACCGGGTCCTGTGGGAACTGGGGAGTCTCCCTCCCCTGTCCACTCAGAGGGCCCAACTTTTCCAAGAACTTGTCCATGTTGTTCAGATTCTGCTCAAGGCTATCTTTCAGGCTCCTGGGGAAGAGAACAGACATCCAGGCCATGGGTTGCTAGCCCTCATCATCCCATTGCCCTGGAATTATTGCATACTAGTGGCCCCAGAGCCAAGGCCCCTAATCCTAATTGGAATTCCTGGCCAACTGCAACTCTTTACACAAACACATGGCACGGGCAAATGAAGACCTGCAACATTGTCCAAATAACCCACAGGTGCACCAAATTTTTCACACCATCTTTTCCCGGAACCCTAGTGAGGTCCTCTTGCTGATCCCAAGCCCCAAGCTTCTGGAAGGAAGAAGGCAACTCCAATAGCAAGCATGAAGCAGGGCTGCAGGTAGAGGGCGCTGAAGAGCCCACAACCCAGCATAGCAGGCAGACATAGCACCACTTGATCCCTCTGGCCCAGTTTGGACCGCGGAGGTTGAGGCATCAGGTGTACATCATCCCATGGCCCCCCTCCCTGTGCCCACACCCCTCGCCCGGCCACTCACGCAGGCTCCCGTGCCAGCTTCTGCTGACGGATCTGCTCCCCCATGCCTTTGTCTCCACTGCTCTGGCTGAAGTAGTCCCAGAAGCCTTTCTGTGCCTGGGTGGCTGAAAACGCTGCAGAGAGGGATGAGTGATGAGGAGCTGGGCTCTTCCTCCTGGCCCCTCAGTCCTGAGTCTACTCACAGCCCCACTCGGAAGTCAAGGCCAGAGACCCACCTGAGAGGAGGGCCAGGGCCCAGGTGAGAAGTGCAGCCGTGCTTGCCATGATCGACTCTGAGAGGGACGGTGATCGGAGGCCTGGCAGGGCGAAGAGCAGAGAAAGGGCATCACCTAGGGACTTGTCCCGGCTCCAGGGACCACCTGCCCAAATCCTGTTAGCTCTTGGGGTACAGTCCTACAGCTGTTGGGACCCAAGAGGACTGACCTGGGTGAGTCAGAAACGCTAGGAGGGAAGGAATGTCTTCCTCAGATGTGGGGTTGGGAGGGGTGCTCCTTCCTCACCTCCATCGGGAGGGAATGTGGAGTTCAACCCACTTTACAAAGGTGAGACCCCATCCTCTGCAGACCCCCAGACCCCAGACTTCAGGCCACTTCTGTTACTGCTCCCTCCATCCCATCTTTCTGCCTCCCATTTTTAAGACTGGGAAAACTGAGCTATACCAAGGGAGAAGAAGCAACTGTGGCAAAGAACCCCACAAGGATGGCTTGGTCCCACTCCCAGCACTCCGCAGTGGCCCTGTAACTCCCTCCCTTACGACTCCAAGCCCTGTCTCTCTGCCGGGCTACTCACCTGCTCAGTTCTGGGCACAGAGAACAGACATTCCGCTTTATACCCCAGTGGGCCTGGGCCTCTGGCAACAATTGCTCTGAGTAAATACCACGTGGAGGTTCAAAGAAGGATGACCTCAGCTGCCTCCCAGCTCTCACCTCCTACCCCGTTCCCAGCACCCAGAGGGTTAACAAGTGCCTTGGTATCAGGGGGCTTCCCCTGGAGAGAAGGTGTCCAGGAAGGTTTTACTAGGAATGGCACTGAATTCCACCCAGTTTCCCCCAAACTGCATGACCTTCCAGCTTCCCACTGACCTGCAGGCTGGCCCATCAATAGCACAAGCTTGTTTGTCTGTTGAGAGCTTCACTTTTACTCAACGACCCAGAGGTAGCCCAGCCAGCTAGACAGGGCCGGCATCCAGCTGCCAGCCAGAACCTGAGCAGCCCTGGACAGCTCCTCCCCAGGCTACTCTGGCAGCCTGGGAAAGACAGCACGGACAGGGCTGAAGACACTCCCACCTCCCACTTTATGAAATAGTCCTGGCACGAGAAGGGAAGCCAGGCAGGGTACAGAGGAAAGGGTAAGAGGCATCTGGGCCAGGGACTGTGGGCCCAAGGAAATGGAGCAACAGGAGGATTCTCCCATGGGAAAAGGCTGAGCTCCACCCACAGGACCTCCGAGGGGAAGCCCAGAAGCCCAGCTCTCCCTCCAGTGGCATGCCTACTCCATGACCACACACCGCATGCCGATGAGCTCCTGATGCTGTGTCTAAATGGATCTTGGATCAATTTCCTCTCCTCCATTTCACACGGTCACCACCCTGATCATCTCTCACATTGATTGCATTCATGACCTCCACTGGGTCTTGGCTGCAGTCCTGCCCATTCAACCATCCCCTACTGTGGCTCATTCCAACCTATTTCTGGTCTCACCTGTCCCACAAAACCTGAGCATTCATGAACCCCGAGCCTTTGTACGTGGCATTCTCTCAGTGTGAAATGGCCTGGCAAACACATGTCCATTTTTTTCCCCAGACTTAGGGTGTATTAGTTACAATTAGGTTCTGCTGTGTGTGCCTCCCCCTAAAAAAGAAGAATTACGGGACTGGCAGATGGTGTAATGGTTATGTCACTGGACTCCCACATGGTCGACTGAGGTTCAAGTCCCAGACCCAGAGGCTTACAAATTCATTCTGGGTGTGTGTGTGAGGGGTGTGTGTGCGAGCATGCCCAGAATCCCAAGAGGAGAATGGAGAAGGGATTGCAGCATGGCCATGCCCTATGCGGGGGGGGGGGAGGTCAGTTTCTCACTTTTTGTCTCTTTGTCTTTCTGGTGAGCACACATGCCCTATAGCAAAAATAAAAAATCTATCTCTCAAAAAAAAGGAGGATAGCTTAAATAAATTTAATTTTATTTCTCTATCATGCAAATGTAGGCCAACTAGAACTCCTTTCATTTGTCATACCAAGAAGAGGCTCATGTGCAAGTTGAAGCTGCTCTAGCTCCAGCCACCAAGTCCACCTCCCAGTCAACAGGGAAGATGAAAAGACAGGCGCATTCCTTCCCTTTAAGGACACAACCCAGACGTTGCTCTCACCCTGCCTGCTGATACCCTACTGACCAGAACTTAGTAACATAGCTACTCCTCGCTGAAAATAAGGCTGGGAAATGTAGTCTGGTCTGTTTTATTTTATTTTATTTTATTTTATTTTATTTTATTTTATTTTATTTTATTTTATTTACTGGGGGGGGGATGTAGTCTTTATTCTTGGTGACTGTGTGCCCCTGAAAAAGGTTCTGTTACAGTAAGGAAGAAGAAAAGAATGGAACTGAGGCGACAACGGTGGCCCTTGCTACATAGTTCTGGTCTCACTCTGTGTGCCCCCTTCTGCCTTCATCCTTCCCTGCTCTGGAGATGGACCTAGTCCACATTAATCACGTAATACTTGCCAAATTCTCATATTCTTTCCTGGACAATCTTGCAGTGCAATGATTTTCTGACGTATCTGAGAACCTTTGAGCTCAGGGACTTGGTCTCATTCATCTCGATGTCCCCACCTGGTTTGTCACAGCTCCTCATACATGGAAAGTTGGGTGAATTTATTCATTTAATTGATCAAAGAACCAAGGTTTGTCCATCAGCACACCAAAGAGGTGCAGCCAGAATTGGAACCCCAGGATTTGGCTTTAGTAGCAGGATAGCAGGAGATGAAGTTAGAGAAGTAAGGAGACCATGACCTCCCCCAAACGGCCAGCCACTGATGGGTACAGGAGAGGATGGAAAGACAGACAGTGGGGAGATTGTTCAGGGCTATTTCAGAAATCCAGAGGGAAGCCGAGAGCCCGCAGTGAGGCATGGCAGTGAGGGCTGATGGGAAGTGTGCATTCGAGGCTCACTGAGGCAGCAGGATTGATAGCAGTTGGTGACTGATGGGATGAAGGAGACAAAGGAGGGGAAGGAAGCCAGATGACCCCAGCTAGGCATGTGACTGGTCTCACACCGAGAGGAGGAGCCTGGTCTGGGACAGGCAGTGAGAGCTCAGTTTAACGCAGTCCCAGTGTGAACCTAAGCTGGGTTTTAGGCAGTTCAGGCAAACCAGTTGAGGTCCATTTGCATAACAAGTAAGACGCTTTGGAGGAGAAAATTCATTTGAGATGGAAAAAACAACAGAGACTATGATCAATCCGAAGTAGAAGGGATACTGAGTGTTTGGGAAGGGCATATTTTCAGAGGATGAATGAAGACAGGAGTGAGAGCACTGTTATAATTTGGAATCAGGTCATTTGTACCCACAGGCTGGTGTTGCCTTGTACTTGACGCCTGCGCCAGAGCTGTCATAGCAAATGGACAGTGCTCAAGTCTAGCGCTCAAGAGAGAGGTCTGGGCTAAAGACCGAGTTGGGGCACCATCGGGCAATGGCAGTGGGAGATGGGAGTAGACGAGATCACCCGGGGAAAGGATGTGCCCTGAGAGAAGAATAGAACTGAGGTCAGTAGTGGGGCCATACGGTGACACTGTGTGAGGCTGTCCCACATGGAAGTTTCCAAATTCACATCTAAAGACCTCCCTGGGTATGGCAGGCTACACGTGTATCCATGATCTGGAGCTGGCTGAAACTGGGGGTGGATCATGGCATCAAGATGGTGTTGGGGGTGCTATATTTCTGCCTCTCTTTATCTGTTTCTCTCACTTGCTCACGGAGAAATAAATGAAATTCTACTCCCACAGGGCCAGCAGGTAGCATGGTGGTTAAGGTGCTGGACATTCTCACATGGCAGACCACAGTTCTACTCCTAGACCTGAGGGCTTGCTTTCTCACTTTCCTTCTCTCTCTCTCTGGTCAAATTAAAATAAATTAATAAATAAAATTAAATAAATAATTCTTTAAAAAAAGAAAATTCCACTCCCAGGAATAAGCCCAAGAATGAAAACATACAACCACACCAACACTAGTACATGGGAGTTCACAGCAATGATATTCGTAATAGTGAAAAGAGTGGAAGCAACCTAATGTCCATCACTGATGACTGCATAAACAAAATGTAGCACACCCGTACAATGGAATATTCTTTGTCAAAAAGAAATGAAGCGCTGAAACATACAACCTCATGGATGAACCTTGAAATCGTCATGCTAAGTGAAAGAGGCCAATCATAATAGGTCATATCTGCATGATTTCATTTACAGGAAATGACCAGAAAAGACAACTCTGTAGAAGCAGGAAGTAGACTGGTGGTTGCCCAGGACAGAGCAGGGGGCAGTTGCAGAGAAATGGAGACTAACCGCTCGTGAGTGTAGTTCCTTTGGGGGATGGTGAAAAAAGTTCTAAACTTACATTATGGTGATAGTTGTACAAATCTGTGAAGTCACTAAAAACCTCTAAATTGTGGAGAGCTTTAGGGTATGTGAATTATATCTTAAAGGTATTTTAGAAATCGAGGATTCTATACATTTAATCCACATGGTAGGGGGCGCTCAAAAATATATGTTGAGGAAGGGTCTACTTTGAAGGAGGTGTTAAGATAATAAGGAACTCGGGGGCCAGCAGGCGACATGGTTGTTAAGGCTGCTGGACTCCCACATCACTGACTGTTGTTCGAGTCCCAGAATGGATGACTTGCTTTCTCGTTTTACCTACTTCTCTCTCTCATTCTGTCCCTCTCTGGTCTAAATAAATACCTAAATAGAAATTAAAAAAAAAATAAAATTCAGTAAAAATAATTCTAAAAATTAATAATAAGGAACTCAAATACTAGACTAAAGTAGCATAGAAGCAGGAAGGCAAGATCAAAGTTAAAGTGTTCTGCAGTCTTTGAATTATTCAGGAGGAAGACAGGATATTGATTATCTTTAGCCTTTGTTAGATCAGACAAGAGTATTAAAATTTTAAGGATAACCCATTAGGAGAATAGAGAGAATGGATAACTTTTCAAACTAGAATATGGGAAAAGAGAAGAAGTGGCATCAATTGACTCATCCTAAGGGATGATGGATTGACCGCATGCATTAGCCTCTACTGTTTTCTGAAACCCCAATAAAATGAGGCTAAAGTGCACTTTTTAAGAAATGTATAACCCATAAGGAGACAAAAGTAACATTTTAGAAGCTGGAAAACTTCCAGGTTTTGAAGCAGTCAAGCAGCCCCCTTATTGCACAATTGAATTTCCCCAAAATTTAGACAATACCAGCAACAGATCCTTCTGGAAGTGTGGGTGACAGTGGAGCTAAAAATGTCACAATTGGTTGAGTCTGTTTGAAAAGCAGCTGTCACCCTCAAGTCTGCTCAGTTGGCTCACTGTCCATCCCCCAAAGTAGCAGAAAATCAGAGGTTTATTCTCTGGAAAGGGCAAAGGATAAGGGGAGTCTTCTGGTCTGAAAATAGTTGGGTATTGTTTGGGGCCAGGGTTCTTGTGCTTGGGAAAAAAAAAAAAAAGGATTCTAGGAAAACTTTATATATTAAATTTTAAGACTCTTCCCTCTATGCATGATCTTTCCCATCACCCAAAATATTGACCAGTTACATTTACTTTCCAAGAGACTGGAATAACATTCTCCCTGAGAAATTTGACTAGCTCAAAAACATAGGAGGAGGAGGAAGGCGAGGAAGATGAAGAGGAGGAAGAAGAGGAAGATGAAGAGGATGAAGATGAAGAAGATGATGATGATGAATAAGTTGGTTCTAGCGCAGTTTTTTTTTTCCTTGTCTATAAAGCATTTAACCCCCCTGTACACAACTCACTCCTTTTAAAGAAAAAATTGAAATGTAAGGCTGTGTAAGATTTGTTTTTAAACTGTACAGTGTCTTTTTTTGTATAGTTAACACACTACCGAATGTGTCTTTAGATAGCCCTGTCCTGGTGGTATTTTCAATAGCCACTAACCTTGCCTGGTACAGTATAGGGGTTGTAAATTGGCATGGAAATTTAAAGCAGGTTCTTGTTGGTGCACAGCACAAATTAGTTATATATGGGGA